CGCAGTTTGCATGGGTGATGTTGACTTGTCTGCAAACTTCTCACCAAGCAGTAGTGCAACTGTAAAAGAACCAACTGCCTTCAAAGTAAAATTGTTGCCTTTTGAACACTCCCAGATACATACGAGATAGAAACATGGGTGATATGTTTGAAATGTTTGCTAGAGTGGTGAGGTAGAAATTTCCCTTTGAAAGCAAACATTCTCCATCTCGGATTTGAGTTGCACTTTTCCAATTTAGTAGTTAGCTAATGTTTGCAGACAAGTCTGCATCTTCCATAGCAATCTGCTAGTAACCAAAGCAATCACAAGGTTTTTGATGCAGTGCCCTCTTTGTGACTGATTTCCCTTAGCCATGGCAAGCAGCCGCCAGCAATCAGTCCTGTAATACACATTTTTCCCTACTCTCAGAAAAATTATGGTTCTGAAATGGTTCTTCAGATGTCTGGTTCTTTAAAGAACCATTGTTTGAAAGGTTCTTTGTGGCACCAAATAAGGTTCTTCTATGGCATCAGTCTAAAGAACCACTTTTGGTTCCAGTTGGCACCTTTATTTTTCTGAGTGTAGTGGCCAGAGGTTGCAAGGGTCTTTTGGCCTGTGTGATTAAAGCCTAACCAAACCAAAACCATTTAGTTGGACCTCTCGAACATCTCTTCCTGGGCAGTTTCCCATAATGATATTTTACACAGGGAAAGACCCAAATTCAGGAAAAATGCAGAGTAGAGATAAAGACACACAGTCTGAATCTTTAATCCAGAAACAGGCAGTGAGGCAAACCGTCCAGTAGCAGCAGGCAAAGACAGACAAAGACTGTGAAGCAGTTCAAAGCATTATACACAAAAGGATCAGTAGGAAACAAAAGCTGGAAAACAGTGAGTTATACTAGAAAAATGAGGAACATGCCTTGAAAGTTTGACTGGGAAAAGCACAAGACAACTCCTCTGGCCATTGAGGAGTAAAAAAGCGGTTAAAAAAGGAGGTATATTCACTTAGGAGACTAATGGGAGACAGGTGTGGCAGACTAAACACAGGTAACACTAATGAGATAAACAAAGCTGTTATTTCCCCATCACATTCAGCATGTTTAATTTATAGAATCTGTAAATACCTGTTATAGTAATACTGTCAAACAACAGACTCCAAGCAAACGCAGTTCACTGGACCTATATCCAGTCTAAAAGAATCCAGATGTGACAATCCACATAACAGTTTCACCATGTATCTCATCATAAAATTGGCTTCTTTCACTTGTTTTACTGATTTAGTCGTGGCAAATAGCCTCATAAAGTTTAAGTGCCTCAGCAGTCCCCGATGTTGTCTCATTTATCTCGATTAACAGAAACATTACATTTGTGGTTTCCTATTTTAAAGAAACTTCACGACATTTAGAAGTTAATGTGTGCTTTATTGTGACATAATTATTTTGTAATTTCAGCGCTGAATGTGTTGCATGTCTCCATCTGTTTTTCATTTATCACAGCAGAGTTTCGCTGTCCATAGCCTGAGGTGTCTTTTTGTCCTCTCGGAGCACGCTGCATGACTGTTTCACACTTTCGTGTATCACAATTTTGAATCATTGGGATTTTTTGAAGTTGCAATTCATACCAAGTTAAATTGCATACCTAAGTCCGAGGAAAGCCACTGTTGTCACACCACTGAGCTGCCAACATTTTCACCATAAGGACATTGTAGAAGTGTTGTTTAGTGTAATATAAAAAAAGAGAAATTAATGTGGACAAATTTCATTTCAGCTCATCGTCACACAGAGCACTGTGGTGTCCTTTAACACCCAGCACACACAGGTGCAGCAAGCTATTTTTATTCCCTATATTTTTGTAAATTACACCATTGCTAGTCTACCAACAGCCTAAATTAATTGATTTTGGTTCAGATAAAGGCGCCTACACGCTTTGGGATTTTTGCATTGTTTTCTGCAAGAAACACAGTGTGAAATTGATCTAATGAACTTGTGTAGGACATCAATTTCGATGCCTGTAGACTATACAGTGACAGTATGTGCTGAACTGGGGCAAAGGTACATCACTGTTCAATGCTACGACCTCCGAGCTGGGTCATAATAACAGTTGGGGGACACATACAAACAAGGCTTCAGCTGTTGAAACCTCTTTATTGTTGAAATCACAAATATTTTGTATTTCCACCCTTGAGGATATTTGAAAGTGCATGGGATTTTTCCCAACCAGTCTACATGTGTTTTGTGGACTTTGACCACATCTCTTGGGGTGTCCTGTTTGGGAGTGGAATATCAGTCCCATTGTTACGAGGGAATAAATCTCAGTATAACTGTAGTTAGAGCTCTGTTTGAATTGCTGGGAATAAGTCAGACTCTTTCCTGTTGGGCTTTGGACTCCTCTAGAGCTGCCTTTTGTCACTGTTTCTGTTCATAATTTTTATGGACAGATATTTTAGGTGCAGCCAAGTAGTGGGGTGTGTCAGGTTTGATGGGGTCATAGTCATGTCTCTGTATCTTGCAGATGTTGTAGTCCGCCTAGCTTCATTGAGTAAAGACCTTCAGCTTACATCGGGAAGGTTTCGAGTAGGGCTGGGCGATATGACCCAAAATTCATATCTCGATATTTTTTAGCTGGATGGCGATATAAGATATATATCTCGATATTTTTTAAAGCCATAAAGTAAGAACAAAAAGAGAGTTCTTAGTCAAAGCTGTGTCCCAGATGTCACACAGGCACTTTTATTAACATACAGCATAGATGTGCATGAAAAAAACTACTCAAAAATAAATTATGAGTATTTATTAAATAATAATGCTCCATAAATAAACGAAAAATATGTTGTTGTTGTCCATAACAAAAAGCTCACAATTGTGCAGTCAAAATGTAAACTAAAAGACGCTGAGCATAATAACATAGACCGATTTCACAGCTGCTCTGTTCCCAACTTCTACTGCGTGACTGACAGCCTGGAGTTTGAAATCTGCTTCAGGTGCCATTTATGGTCCTTATACACACACAATATGGTAATATTACGTTGAAGCACAGTGCGTATTACTACGCGAGGCTCCTCGGACAATCCATCAAGCGGTGCAGCTCCGTAGCTTACCAAAGTCGTACTAAAACATTTTTTTGACAGATTGATGAGCGCCGTGTTCCACATAAAATCGGTTCGCGATCATCAAGCAAAACCAGAATTCATACATAAGGTGCGCTGTCAACTTTTGAGAAAATGAAAGGATTTTAGGCTGTGCATCCCCTGTGGGCTGCATGGCGTTAGCGTGGTTAGCTCGTTAGCATGGTTAGCTCGTTAACACGTTGACGCTGTCCAGCCCCACGCACGGAGCGATGTGCAGTAACTCGTTAACGGAGATTTGCCGTGTTCATATTGTCGCTGCCTGCAGGTGAAGCTATGGGGGAGGAGGGGGAGTTGTGTTCAGTGAAAGAGAGGCGAGGCCGAGTAATGTTGCGTAGAGACAAAAGTGGACGAAAGAGAGGCAAACTTATGGCTCCACAACTAATTATAACGTATATATCGATATGAAGGATATGGTCACATCTTATATCTCGTATAAAAATATATCGATATTTTTAAAAAACTCGATATATCGCCCAGCCCTAGTTTCGAGGTTTGTATTGAGTTTCTGGGCAGATAGAGAGACTGACAGGCCTGTTGTCATGTAGATGCTGTACTGGTCTGTTGTGGTCAAAAGAGGCAGCAGCGTGTTAAAGCAAAGGTCTCAGTGAACTTGTGGGTAGTAATCAAAAATTTGAGGTACAGCAGAAAAGAGCTTCCTTTAACAGATGCCTGGGCTCAGTTTTAGAGGTTTTAGGGCTTGGTCATTTTCATATTCAGGGTGCTCCTTCACATCAAAGGGAGCCAGTTGAGATGATTCAGACGTGTGAACACGACACTTACTACATGCCTCCTAGGTGTTTCTAAGATATTCATCTGGGTGGAGAGCCCAGTGCAGATTCAGGGCACGCTAGAGAGATTATGTCTCTTGCCTAGTTTGGTTTCCTCCTGAAAGAGCTCGAGGATATGCCTGGGGAGAGGGAGGTCTCGGCATCTCTGGTTAGACTGGTGCCTCTTGTGAGCTTGATAAAAAGCGGAAAGTGAATGTATAGAAGTTTTATTTCTACATTCTCCCTTTGTGGTTATTTGTTTGTTTTTTCTACCTCTTCATGGCAGTATCTCGGTGAGCAGCTCTTAAAAGAACTACACCTCTGACAGAATATCTTAAATATTTGGAAAAAGTTAACAGAATGACAAAAAATACGACTCAACACACAGTTACATATGGTAAGAATTGCTCAAAAGATTGATTAAATAGTAATGTAACTAAAATAAAGGCTCTCAAAGGGTAAATTCTGGAACAAAACACATCAAAATGCAATGTAAAAAAAAGATAAATATATAACAATAAAGTGGCACTATAAAGAAAAGTTGTTTAATAAATTCAAAAAGCAGAATAAATAAAATTACTTACTAAATGTAGTTAAAAAACAACAAGCACAGTGAATGTTAGATGGCAATAAAGTGGCTTAGTATAACAGCCTTCAGGAGCTCTGTGTCCATGCTTAGATCAATCATGAGCAGGTCTGGTAGTACAACATCCTGTCTGCGTCACAGCTGGAGTTCATGTCTGCAACCATGTAATTTACTGGTTTTCGCTTTCACATTGGGCTCATTTATAGATATAGAACTGCTTTGTTCAATCAGGACATGGTCAAACTTTAAATTCCTTGTTTCAGTAGCGTGTTTATCTCTTTTCCTTTTTCTTTAAAGGGAAAAAAAACATAGAATCTGTGAATAGTGGCTTTTTTAAAACCAGGAAACAACTTAGTTATTAATACTGCTATGGTGCCCTGTGCTCATTACATCCTGTTTTTCAACTTCTGCCCTGAAGAGCTTCTTAGCCACATTGCCCTTAGTCAGTGTTGCTTTAATGCGGTCTTACTGCTGACATCAATTATAACTTCATACAGCCTTCGTTGAGTGTTTGATGTGGGTTCTCTGTAATTTCACAGAGTGAAGATGGTGCAGACCAGGACAGTCCAGAGGAGGGGACACCGGCGAGCCCCCGCAACAAGCGCAGAGTGGGTCGTCCCAGCAGGAAACGCAAACAGCTGCTTCCTGTGAGTACTGTACTTAAAGCCTGATGGTGTTTTGTGCTTTAAACTGCAGAAGAATGATTGATTATCTGTTCACCTATTAAAAAAACTCCCCTCTCTAATCTGCAGAGGTTTGTTAAACATGCATGCACTACTTTCCTTCTTATTCATTCATACCTGCGAGCTTCCGTGCATCAGCTGTAGTCAAATCATATCATACAGAAACACACTGATCTGGAGGCGCATTTACTGCATTAAGTGTCACATTTGAGTGTGTCTGACATAGTAGCTTGTGTGGGTTGCTTTTTTCTGCTTCAGTGTGTTACAGAGAGAGACTTCTTTCTTAATCAGCATCTTTGAAAGGGGGAGTCCCCTACACATTGACTGTTTGCAAATGTAGTCATCGCAGTCCTCCACATGTAATGGCAGTTTAATACACTCATCAATTTCTGGTCAGCATGGCTCCAGCCCCCACATTTTCCATATACCACTTAAAGTCTGGCTGGAACAGGAGTTAGATAATCTCTAGCATCAGTTGAAGTCATAAAAATATGACTTTAGGTTGGTGGATTGCTCAGAAGTGGGCATGACTTGAATGTAAGAAGCACAAACTGACTGATACTGAGCTGTAGAAAAAAGAAGTAGGAGGAGGATAAAGGACTCAACAGTTGTGAGCAAAGTTTTTGCCACCTAAAATCCAAACGCACTCCTCCACCTATGATATCTTTCCCAGCCTCTGCCAAATGCAAGCCAACAGTTATCACTAAGGTTAGTTTAATGTCCCAAATCATATTTTATTGGATCATTGTAAGATGAGTGCTCACATTTTGCAAGAAAAAGACATTATGTTTGGCATTTAAATGATTAGCACTGGGTTTTTTTCATCCATCTATTCATTTTCCTGTGTTTATCCAATTCAGGGCTGGAGCCTGTCCCAGCTTTGGCAGGGCAAGTCCAGGGTGACCTGTCCAAGGTGGGTGCACCCTGGACAGTAACATAGAGTCGCAACTTAACAGCCTGTCTGATGTACTTCTAGCTTAGATATAATGACACTTTGCTGTTTTTCAACAAATATCTAGTTTGTTAGCGCTTCGATGTGGGTATGAAACCAACTCCAATTTCTTCCAAACCTTGTGCTAACTTTGCATTACCTGGTAACCTGTGCTTGTGAGCAGATATAACAGCAGATTTAACTCTCTGCACTTCTACATCCTCCATCTGTCTTCACTGTTCTTGAATGCTTCACCAACCTCTTCCCAACAGTTACCTGGCTAGTTAGCATTACCCAGCATGCCTTTTGGTGATGTCATTTTGCAAATGTGTTATTAGTGATTTTTCCTAATAACACTTACCAGAGTTAGTGTTGGGGCAGTGATTTTTGTCTTACAGTAATAAACTTATAATACATTTAAACCACTTGGAAAGCCTCAGCATGCACTTTATCTGTTCACCAGTAGGGCAGGATTTTAAAATTTTTAATCATGAATGAAATGATGGTACATTTGGTAAGTCAGGCACTAACAGCCACCCAGCCTCATATAATAATGTGACCCTTTATTCAAAATGCAATTTTTGAACTTTTCTCCAGCAAAATATATATATAAAAAACAGGTTAAAATTTTCAGGGAACCAGTGCTTGTTTCTAGTACTTGTTTCAGAAACTATTGTATAAAAACATTTTGGTTTAAGACTGTGACACCTGGAGTGGGTGTAAAATTTATTTAGTCCCAGTTTTTAAACAGAACTTAAATGTGTTTTTCAGGACTGAACATTTAATGTCTTATGAAGTTATGAGGGTTCACAAATACTAGAAAAAAGGTGACTTAACAAAACAAGAGGTTTCAACCCACCCCTGTGTATTTCAAGGGTCTGTCAATCAGGAAAAATAGTGATAATTAGAAGGAAACATTTTCTATGACTTCTTTAAATATGTCAAACAATCTGCTAATTTTACAGTGCCTGGTGGAAAGCAGGACCCACATTTATTATGAGAATGTTGCTGCTGTATTTGTCGTTTACTTTTACCCATTGTGACTATGTTCCTTACTACTCCTTTTCAAGCTTTACTCTGAGTTTGAGCTGGCATCCATCCAATCTCTCTTAGTGCAGCAGTAAATAACCTGTGACTCGTGTTACAGAGCTGCATTAGCACTGTAATAATTACACTGTGTGGTATATTTCATCACTAGCACTGACTTCAGGTCTTTGGCAGTTCCCCTCTGTCATATTTCTCTCAGCATTCATTCTCTAACCGCTTACTTTGTGTGTATTGTGTGTGTGTGTGTGTCTTTGTACCGACTGAACTCTGTGGCAGAATCAGCAAGTCAATATAGCTGATCAAACAGCCCCAGACAAGAGGAATACTGAGTGAACTACTCAGAAGGAAAGAGAGTGTGTGTGTGTGTGTGTGTGTGTGTGTGTGTGTGTGTGTGTGTGTGTGTGTGTGTGTGTGCTGATATCCTTGCACAGACCAAAAACCTTTGTTGTGAGGTCATTTAGGCAGGTCCTCACATTTTATAAGGCAATAGGTGGGTTAGGATTTGGTTTCAGCGCACAAAGGGTTGTAGTTATGGTTCATTGTGATGGTTGAAGATTAGGATAGATTAGATTGTCAGTTAGTGCCCTCATAAATATAGAAAAACCAACGTGTGTGTATGTTTGTGGATATGCATGTGTGCAGGAGAGCAGGTCTGATCATGCTTTGATGTCTGAGCCCTGACAAAGCGAGCAGGATGAATGTGGGTCCTGTCAGACACAGGCACACAGTCACACACTCACACACAAATGTATTTCCATAATCTCTGTGGGGTTTACTTATTGACACTGAGCATTCCCTTAACCTAACACTAACGATCACAAGTGAATATTTAAGCTTAACTTTAATTACTTTAAACAGGAGGAAAAAACATCTGATTACTCAACCAGTCTGAAAGTAAGAAAACAGACATAACTGACAAATCATCAAATCATATTTTAAATGTCCCTGAACTGTGAGGCATTTTGTACAGCGTGTATGGAGCAACCCAATTCCTACATCACTACTGCCTCAAAACTTGTTAGTTTCCATCTCACTACATCTTCTAGTAGCGGGTGGTGTTGCAATATCTTAGTAACACCAGTGAAGTTCTTTAACCGACTACCCTACAAATACACAATGTAATGACTGAGTTGCAACATTACAAACTGGCGATGTTGCCAACTTTGCTTTGTGGCTGAAAAACAAGCAGACAGCACAGAAACTTTTCTACAATGTGTAACCTAATTCTAGATGTTATTATTGTATTACGCTAATTAAATATTTCTACAATGTGTAACGCTACTGCAGTGCTGTACTACATACATATTCAGGATGTCTTTTCCTTCTGTGGCTTCTCTTAATAACTTCAGCAATCAAGCTAAGTGGTTATATAAAGGTGGTTATCAATTCATAAATCAGCCCAGGTATTCCTAATCTTGGCTTGCATGTACAGATCTAGTAACTGTAGAACAATTTTACAAAGGAAGATAAAAGTATAACATTAGAAAAATACAGATGTTAAATATGTAATTCAGAATGAAACCAACAAACAAAGCTTCTGCACACAAATCAGCTGTGTGTGTCTGAGAGGAAAAATATAGTACTAAAAGTACTATATGCATGTGTGTGTGTCTGTAAGTGTGTGAGAGTATGTGTGCTCTGTGCACTTTAGTTAGTAAGACTGGAAAAGTGCTCTATAAATAAAGTTTATTGAAACGAGAAAAGAAAGTCAACAGACATGCCTACTTTGTATCAAAGTTAACAGACTGATTTGGATTACAGCCTTTTTGATATATAATTTACAACTGCATGTTCAATTAAGTTGTATATGTATATGTGTGTGTGTGTGTGTGTGTGTGTGTGTGTGTGTGTGTGTGTGTGTGTGTGTGTGTGTGTGTGTGTGGTTGTTTGTGAGGCAGTTTTAGCGTTGTTCTTTCAGTTGCAGTGGTCTAAGAACAAGTGAAAGAAGCTGAAAGAATAACAAATACAAATACAAACATCAAACCACTTACCTACATTTTATATAGGACGGCAAGTAAAAGGCTTAAGTGCCCTGTTTTCACTTATAAAACAAGTTTAACCTTCTTTGCAGCCAACAGGAAAATATAGCAAGGAATAAAGTTGCTTATAAGAATTGCTGTCTCGTATTAATTTTTGTCAGAGAAAGTCAAAACTGTAAACTACCTCAAAAAGACCCCTCTTCTAACTGTGCACTTAGGACCACAGGCTTTTCCACCAATGGTAACGCCTTTTTCCACAGAACTGACTGGTCATTAAGCTGGTTTTGTACTTGCTGCTGTCTTATCTCGTGCATAACCTACTGTAGGTGTGCAGCATAAGTTGGCATGGGAATGTAGCCCCTATAAGAATTCATCTAAAAACTCGTGATTAAACTTGAAGTTATCTATTGGAGCCAACTCATCCTCTGGGCTTTACTTTTTTCTGTTAGTAATGTGAAACGTAAGCAGACATAGGAGAGCTTTTATGTATAGAAGGGGTGGGCAACTCCAGGCCTCAAGAGCCGGTGTCCTGCAGGTTTAAATATCACCCTGGGTCAACACACCTGAATCAAATGATTAGTTCATTACCAGGCCTCTGGAGAACTTCAAGAAATGTTGAGGAGGTAATTTAGCCATTTAAATCAGCTGTGATGGATCAAGGATACATCTAAAACCTGCAGGACACCGGCTCTCAAGGCCTGGAGTTGGCCACCCCTGATGTATAGGCTAGCATTTATTTGGCCGACTTGCAATGGATAAACAATGCATCATCATCAAATTGACTATTTACACACATCCCTGAAGTTTTAAATTCAAATTCAAATTTTATTTGTCACGTACACAGTCATACACAGTACGATATGTAGTGAAATGCTTGGACAACTGCTCGTGACCTAAAGAAAACAAAAAAGGAAAAGGCTATGAATAAGATAGGAAATAAATATGAAAAATTAAAAAGGGTAAATTTAACTAGGAAGGAATAGAATATAAATTAAGGTTAAAAATGA